AAAGTTACTTCAAATGGTTAATTGTACAATATATGTTTTTACCAGCCACTTAATGTAGCTTCTTATTTCTAACCTGACAGCTGCAGTTGGAGCTCTTAAACTTTAAACTTTACTAATTTAAACACAGCAGGAGGACACGAACACTGTTCCATAATGAAGGATATGCAGAAGTCATTTTAGTTTTTGGCCAAATCAAAGTGAAATTGTTATTATTGATTGAACATTCTCGGTGGTAAATACCATTAGACTGATATGTTTTGTAATCTGTGTTTTATTAGAGAGTCTGTATCGCTCAGAGAGACTATTGTCAGGAAAAGAAATGGAGAAAGGATTTAGCTTCTTAAAGCCAATTTAAATATGAAAGTCTAGTCAGGTTTAAAAAAAAAAAAGAGCCACCTCCATGACATTAAAAACTCTGACTTTAGGCTCAACATATCTTAATAACCTATTAATCGTGCTTCCCAGTTTAACCCGTCTGCTGTCCTGCTTAAACAAATAACAAGACTTTCTATCTGCAACTTGAAGTATGTTGGAGAAAAATCAAGAAAAAAGCATTATGTATATGTCCTATTTATTTAGGGTGTCAATGTTACCAAGAATACCAGTTAGTTTTATTTATAAAATGCGTTTGGGTGAATTAAATTTACATAATTTAGTGAATTTTCCTTTTCCAGCTTTGTATGCATGAATCGTATATCTACTGCTACACATCTGTGGTAAAGCTTTTGCATGAGAAGCTTTACGTTGTTCTTGATGGTAACTTGTAAAGCTGTGCTGTTTCTTTTTGTCAATAAAGGCGCTTCTGATTGTGTTTAATGTAATTAGACGTTTATAAGAAACCGAGGTGATGATGATATGTGATGGTTTGCTGCTGCACAGCTGGTGTGTTTAACTGGGATTAACCTCAGGCTTTTGGTTTCAAGTCGGCAGCCATTCCTGTTGTCAAGGTGATAGTGGAGCCAGGGGTAAGAAGAAGCCCCTCCTCTTTTATTTAAGACCCTCAACCTTCATCCAAAAGTCAAAGCATCAACATCTTTTTCGTTGTGACTCTGTGGCTCAGATATGCCTAAAACATTGAGATTTTTTTTGTTTGTTTTTTTTTTTTTTTGCCAGAACTTCTGGTCTCACTTATTCAGTAAAATGTGAGAGTTTGTGTTTGAACTCTCAATGTTTGTCAAAGTCTTGTTTTAAATCCACCTGGTTTGTTGCATTTTGGCACCAGTTTGAATCTGCTGACATGTTCGTCGTCCTGTCTGGGTGCATGGCATGACACAGAGGGTTAGGTAACAGGGTTTGCTCTTATGTCATTCCTCATTTCAGCAAGTGTTTGCAGTCAGATTACCAACACTGTGCGGACGTTGAACTGCAGTTGACGTTTCTTGTTGAAGGTCTTATTCGTTTGTAATGTTGAAAGACATGTAAAGCTCCATCGTTGTGTCTGTATGAAAAATCTGCAGTTTGTCTTTCTGTTTGGAGTATTCTGTCTTTTGAATCAGTCATCGTCAGTCAAATGTATGTTCAAGGCCTCCATGTCTGCTAGCCGCATGCTGTTGAAGACAGAATTACTCTGCATGCACGATGATTGTTGTCATTATAAAGATGTAGGAAGATCACAAATGGGAGGATTTTTTAAAAAGTTTTTTGCTTGTTAGCCACCATGACTCATGCGTGATTATTAAACGAATGCATGTATGACTGACTGACGGCACGAATGAACAGGTGGTGAACCTTTTGTTTCTTTGTTCCGTAACCACTTGTCACCTCCTCCACCTCAGAACACAGAGGACAGCGCTCGCATCTCCATCACCTTCTTCCGCCTCTTCAGGGTGATGCGATTGGTCAAACTGCTGAGCCGAGGGGAGGGAATCAGGACTCTGCTGTGGACCTTCATCAAGTCCTTCCAGGTCAGGATGTAGCATATACAGCTGGTATTTTTTTAATCTGAAATAATATAAATCAGCAAGATAAAAGATTACACTCACCAGACATCAAACCTCTACACAGCACCTCACAACACAATGACTTTGTTAAAACTACATCTGACTCATGATGCCAACTCACCTCTGATTGTATTACTGCTTCACTGTCTTAAGTTTTAAACCATTAATAACTCTGCACTGATCAAAACAAAATCTCATATGAAATCTTCTGTCTGTAGTGTAGTTATTATCCCAACCAAGTTTACTTTAAAGAGATGCTGCCCTCTGCTAGCCATTATTTTTCCTTGTACTTTTATGCATGAAATCATTCAACTGTTTTGAACCTAAATTATCATTTTTATACATTATTCATTGTAATTCAATAATATCTTACATGAACCGTGTTATGTTTCCCCCCCTGCAAAAAACCCCACACAAGATGGCAAAGGTCATCAAAAGGGAAAACTAACAAAACTGGATGGTTGGGACATCGGCTTTCTCAAAGGCAGTAGAGGGATTTCTCCTAACTACCGCCCACTGAGTCTATCAGAAGGATAGAATAGCTAAAACAGGGCATGTCCCACAACACAACTTAGGTAGGAGTCACTATTTTGAACGGGGTGTTTTGGAAAATCAAATCAAATCATACTTTATTTATATAGCACTTTTCATACATATAGCAACGCGAGGTGCTTTACAGCATTAAAAACATTGTCAAAGAAAGAAAAAAAAAAAGCCAAGAAAACCCGTCCCCCCCACCCTCCATGTGTACACATACGGCTACGCATACAAACACGCACACACATTCTCACCACTGACCATATGGAGACATGGTCTGGCACTGAGGCCTGTGGAAAACGCCACCAATTGGGGGCTGTCCACACTGGGAGGAGTCGCAGACCATGACCACTTTGGGTGCTGGCACCCGGACCCCTCCGACCCCGACAGACAAGGGGACCCCCACACCGAGGTGGGGAGCCCCCCAACCAGCCGGGCCGAAGGGATCCGCAGACTGAAAAAAAAAACTAAAAGCCTCAAAATATAAAAGACCCGATGTAAGATAAAATGAAAATTAAAAGAGTAAAATACATGCAAAGAAAGAAACAACTTAATTCTCATTTTCGGACACTCAAACTCAAAATATCCCAAGGAGGACAGCTGATGGTGCTGCCTCCAGAGCCACACTCCCCAACTGAGATGAGTTGTAAACCTTCATGTATCCTAGCTGCCAGGCTGATTTCCAACAGCCTGCAGCTGAGCTTTACTCAGCAGATGCTGTTGTTACAATGACACTGTGCACTGCTCATGTTTCAAATTGAAGATTTTTTAATCAGTGTGCCGTTTCTCTTTTTTTCCCACTCAGGCTCTTCCCTATGTTGCCCTCCTGATAGCCATGCTCTTCTTCATCTATGCTGTGATTGGAATGCAGGTAATGTGGTCTCACATGCAATTACAACATAACTGTAACCTTTCCATGACACCCTGCACGATATGTGGATATATCAATCTGAGCACTATTTGCTGACTCCTTGGATGATTTTTAAAAAAATCTCTTTTTAGGTGTTTGGGAAAATAGCAATGGTGGATGGAACACAAATCAACCGTAACAACAACTTTCAAACCTTTCCCCAAGCTGTCCTCATGCTCTTCAGGTTTGTTTGTTTTTCTAACTTGACCTGTTTAAAGTCATTATAAGTCATCATACATAAATCCTGCCCGTTCTGCAGATGTGTCACTGCTGTTTGTTGTGTTCTGTGTTAGATGTGCCACAGGGGAGGCCTGGCAGGAGATCATGCTGGCCTGTCTGCCAGGGAAACTGTGTGATTCAGAGTCGGACTACAACCCCGGAGAGGAGAGAACCTGCGGAAGCGGCTTCGCTATTATCTACTTCATCAGCTTCTACATGCTCTGTGCTTTCCTGGTACTCACGCCTCACCGTGTTCAGTGCAAGAAATGTTTGAGTCCACACTTGAGTATTCCTGTGTACAATTTAAAAAATGTTGCATGTTTCAGATCATCAACCTGTTTGTAGCGGTCATCATGGATAACTTTGACTATCTGACACGTGATTGGTCCATTCTCGGGCCACATCACCTGGATGAGTTTAAGAGGATCTGGTCAGAATACGACCCTGAAGCCAAGTGAGTACTCAGCAGCCACTTCAGAAAGTACTGTTATATATCTTCTCTGTTTATTTATTTTTCTGTGCACTTTGCATCACTCTGTGAGGTGTCGATTGTTTTGTATGAGGGTACTTTACAAAGTTCTTGGTGTCACCAAAAAACCTCACAGAAGAAAGATTGTTCTTGCATTATTTTGTAGCGTTATCTCCTTTAACTTCAATGCACTTGGGCCACGGATGTAAAGAGAGAGGAAGGCTTCCAGATGACTTGATGCTTTTATTCCAAGACAATGTTTCCGTCCACACAGCATCATGTGGCAGAAGCAGCAACATGTGGCTTTGAACTGTTTCCCGTTGATCCTTACTTACCCAACCTGAACTGTCTGACTTTTGTTTCACAAACTTGCTTGGTCGCCACTTTCAGATTGATAATGAGGTCATGCCTGCTGTTGAGGAGAATCTGTAGCCTCAAGTGAAACCTGAACATTGGTGGACCGAGGGCACTGACGTTAAAGGTGCTTAAAAATAATGCAAGAAAAATCTTTCTGCTGTGATGTTTTCTGGTGGAGCTGAGAACGTTTTGAAATACCCTCGTATCAGTCAAATTAATCACTCTCTTCAATTACTTTTACTCATCAGGACTTGTGGTCAGAGTGAAGGTTGTGTTTTGTGGTGGTGTAATGCATTTCATCTGAGCGTACCTTGTTGTCAGGGGGAGGATAAAGCATCTTGATGTGGTAACTCTGCTGAGGAGGATCCAACCTCCGCTGGGCTTCGGCAAACTCTGCCCTCACAGAGTGGCCTGCAAGGTGAGTTTCCACATCTCATCGACATGCTCGCAGCTCCACAAATGGTGAAATATAGATGTAAATCGATTGCTTTCACAGTGTTTGTCTCACATTGGATGCCTCCTTGTTAATCTGCAGTTTGAATTCTGTTGCAGCGTCTGGTGGCGATGAACATGCCCCTGAACAGCGACGGGACCGTAATGTTTAACGCCACTTTGTTCGCTCTGGTGCGAACTGCTCTCAAGATTAAGACTGAAGGTGAGTTTGCACCTCAAGTCGTCAGGGATATGTAATGTTTTATTATCGTGGAGCCTTTTACAGACTGGTACAGTGTGACTGAGCTTTTTTAGCTGTGTGTTACTATCCTGTGCAGTAAAGAAGAGTATTTAATTTGCAGCATTATGACTATGAGGTAAAGCAGATGGAGCAGAGAGATGTGTTGTAAATACTGCAGCCTTTAGGCATAAAATCGACTTGAGATGAAATCCCAAACAAACCACTGCAGCAGCATGATAGAGGCCTGACTTTAGTACAGAGACAAGGAAGCTACACACTGAGGTCTGTCCTAAAGAAGCAAGAAAAATAAATGGAAATCTAGAAAGTAAGGTAGATGAAAATGAATTACATCATCTGTCAGTGTCGAGGCATAAGAAATTAAATGAACTGACCTGCACCACATTAATATTAGTGAGTTACACTTGAATGCTGCATCTGCAATAAGCAAAAACTAGGCGTATTTACTCTGGGATGGTTCAGGCACTGTTTAGAGTTAAATAAAAATCATGCTACTTTGATTTTTAATATAGTCTCTTAATCACAAATGCGTCCTGAGCTTCTGTGGTACGTGCTAATTAAGCATTATTCCACAAGAGGGAGTTATAGATATTTATTAAGCCGTCTCTCCTAAGTGTCCACTGCAGATCAAACAAGACTTACAGCTTAAACACTCAAGATTTGTTTGGATTGTGTTGTGACTGTTGTATTCAAGATTCAAGATTAACGTTATTGTCCCAGGTGTGGGCAATTTGTCTTGGGCTATTTGACCCATGCTGCAGCCAACACAAGCAGACACAAACAGGGAAAAAAATACAGTTAGTAGATAGAATAAATAAATATATGCATACATCAAATAAAAGAAGAATAAAATGAATATCTTAGTCTAATTTCATGAATCCAAAGACATGGCACTTTAAAAAAACGAAAAAACAATTAGAGCTATTTTACTTTTTAATTAACCTCATTGAACAAATGGAATTTTTAAATCTGTTCAATCGGCAGCGTGGGATTCTGAGCCTTCTTCCAGAAGGTAACCACTCATACTCTGAGTACAGAGCATGTGATGGATCACTCAGGATCTTGTTGGCCAGGTGCAGAGCGGCCTGTTCATAGGTGTTTTGTAGGGAGAGGTTGTATGTGTAAGACAGAGACAGAATTGATACTCTAGGTCACGTACAACTCAATACATCAGTTCATCTTTGTGTAGATTCTCAGTGATTCAAGTCAAAGTCATTTAACCCTATTCAGGACTTTCATGTTGCCATACGTAGAAGGTCTTTCGGGGGCCATTGAGCAAAATATTTGTTGGTATTCATTATAGACTTTTATACTATGTTAAATACATTTTCTGATAAGCAGACGTATTTTTGCTTCCAAATGCATGACAAATGTCCCTCTTTTTATATTTAAAAAAAATCTTCAAAAATTAAAAAACAATACCTGTCACCTAAACCAAATGGCCTGAGGTCCAAAAGACCCCAAAAGTTCTGAATAGGGTTAAAGATCTCCAGTAAAACACAACTGGAATTCCTACTAGGTTTCCTAAGTTGTAACTAACTACTAGGTATTCCCAGGTATATATATATAGCTATCCCCAACCTTACATGGCTAATAGCCTGTGAACAAACCTGAGACTCACATTGCAAGATCAGGGATGACTCACAATGCTGTTGGCGGTGAGACTTTCTCGGGAAAGATCTCAGGACTGCACCTTAAGTAACTCATAAATGATGTTGCAGCCTGCCTCCTCTGTTTACAGTTTCTGTTGTTTGTACTTCTTCCTCCCTCTCTGAAGCCATCTGTCTCCTCTGTCCAGAACGTGGACATCCTTAAAGGCGCAACTTTCATCTTTCAGACATGGACGGACTGTTGAGTCTTGTCTTGAGTAGCTGCTCTCCAGTGTGGAATCACGCACTTGTGGAACAGTTGTTAAGTTTCTTCTATAAATAGGTCTGTGCGCTCCTCGGCTTGTGTTTAAGCGTTTTTACGTCAGGGTGGACCAGTTGGCGTTGCAGAGTTGTAAGGCATCTGAAGTGCACTGGTATGTTGTGTTTGGATTGAAGGTTCTCAGACGGACCAGCTCCATGACAACATTGTTCCGCTTGGTCGAGGATGTTTTTCTACCCTTTAATAAGATTACAAATACATTGCTGGGATGTCTATAAACTTATTATTGTTAATGTTATGGAGAGTGAAATTACGTTATTGCAATGGGAGGGTGACCTCACTGACCCAAAGACGTTCAAATCTAACCGCTTTTAGAGTGAACACAAACTCTTTTCTTAGTGGCTCACTGTAAATAGGTTTTAAATTTAAAAGTTATGGTTTTTCATACTGAAAAAGAATCCCCACTCTCAAAACGAGGAGGTTGAAGTCAGGCTCTCTTTATTCAGCAGTGCATGGAATCTCCCACAACACAGGATTATGGGAGAGGAGCTCCCCGAGCAAAAGGACCATCAGTGTTTATATTCTTCTTATCACGCTACCTGTGGAGGGGCAAGTTCTCTCTGTTCAGAACAGTTTGCTTTTGTCTTATCATGGGAGGATTGTTTTTTGTTTCGTTTTCACCTTGCATAGCACTGCGTCATTCATTTCTCTTTCATCCAGCACAGGAACGTAGCTCACTGTGGTAGGAGTGTAGCTTCCCACATCAGTAGCGTATCTGTCTAAGAACTCCTTCACATTCTTAGAAACTCATAAGCCACATGGAGAAACAGAAGAACAATCCTTTTCCAACGCATGCCATCTAAGAAATGCTGAGTCAATCTTTCCAAAGACAAAACTTTTTAGGGGGTGTAGCATCGCTACTCTGGTTGGCCTCAAACCATTAACCCCTTAAGTGACTCTTCCATAATTAAGCTACAGCAAAGTTGCTCTACTGACATGAAAATAGTTCCCCAAGAAAAAAAGATACGCTTACATCAACTAAAAAAACAGATAATAAAGGATAACCTATGAGCTTATGATTGATTGTACTTTCACAGCTTTTTTCTTCTTCTTCTTCTTTTTTTCGTGTTGTTTTTTCCTTGTCTCTTTGCTGTCTCAATGAAGCCCCAGTTGTGACAGCTACAGTTTATTGCTTTTATAATACGTGTGTGTTTTCTTTTCTCTCTGCTTTGGTAAAAACCATCTCAGCTCGGTTGTGTAAAATTCTGATGACCTCCAACTTACGTTGCAGTGGGTGGGTGGATGGATTTTCTGTGCAGTATAGTGTTAAGGTCTCCGTCCTAAATGTGCACAGAACAGTACAAAAAAAGGCTTATTGGTTGTTTACCTCTACAGCCTTCCTGATAAAATTGCTTTCCACCAAGCTGTTTTGTTTTTTGGTTTTTGTGTGCGTGTGTGTGTGTGTAAAGACTCAGAATTCTTGGGTTTTATTTTTTAGCCCAGGTGTCATCCACATATTTGAACCAGTGGCTGAGTTTTGTTCCCTTTAAAGGGCTCAGTGCTCTGCTTTCTGATTCCTTCATGCAGAGGCTGGCTGACACTGGAGAGCCAGTGGTACAGCTGTGAAACCCTCATTGTATTTAAAATTGGTTGTAGTTAGGCAGACGTCCAGCAGGTCAAGCATCTACTGCGCATGAAGTTGGGCCTGTTGTTTAAAGAGCTGTCTTGCAGAAGTTGTTTTCTGATGATCTCCATTCCCATATAGGTTTTTCACATGTAATATAATTCCTGTTGAAGCTCCTAGTCTATCCATCCATCCATCCATCCATCCATCCATCCATCCACCTCTTAATCCTCACTAGGGTCATGGGGGGCTGGAGTCTATCCCAGCTGACTCAGGGTGAAGGCAGGGGACACCCTGGACAGGTCACCAGTCTATCACAGGGCTACACTTAGAGACAGACAACCAAGCACACTCACATTCACACCTACGGACAATTTAGAATCACCAATTAACCTCAGCATGTTTTTAGACTCTGGGAGGAAGCCGGAGAACCCGGAGAGGACCCACGCTGCACGGGGAGAACATGCAAACTCCACACAGAAAGTTCTCGGGCGTCTTAACTGCGACAGCGACAGTGCTAATTACCGAGCCACCTTGCAGCTCTGAAGCTCCTACTATTACACCAATATATTGTCCCATTTATTGGTGCTTTTAACCAAAACAGTCTGACTTAGATACATGTTTAGAATCTCAATCATGCTTGTCAACTTCTCTGCCTTTTCTAAGGTAACCTGGAACAAGCCAACGAGGAGCTTCGAGCTGTGATCAAGAAGATCTGGAAGAGGACCAGCATGAAGCTGCTGGACCAAGTGGTGCCCCCTGCTGGTGGTCAGTGGTCATCCTGCATTCACGCACTGTTAACGTGTCTTCTTCACAGTTCAAGCACTTACCTCCAAGTCCCCTCTTCTCTCTGAACCATTCTTGCTCACATAGGGTCCGTCTCACGAAGCAGGTTCAACAAACTCTGAGTCTAATCCTGAACTCTGTGTTGATCTACTCTGAGATAGGAAACTCTGAGTTACTGGTTCCAGAACAGCGGATCGGAGTTAGCTTAATCAACTGGGAGTAGTTTCGCATGCACCACAACTATGAAAAGCCAGCATCAATGGACCCCTAATTTGACGAGTCACCATGGCAACGGGGAAGCAGATTGCTGCGTTTTTCACCCACTAGAGTTGGAAATCTTAATGCGCTCATACGGCAAGTTTGAAAACGTTTTTAAAAAGAAGTGCAACACCGCGGCAGCTGCAAAACAGAGGCAGAATATTGCTGCTCGGGTCAACGTAAGTTTAAATGTCGTCCCGTGCAATCACAACAATATTACAGGAGAAAACGACTTGAATGGTAGCCTATTAATTTATTTCATTTAGGAGCAATCCCGTGGGGGAGACGCGAACTTGACAGCAGCTTAAGATACAATATAAAAACACTGTTCAAGTCTGAAGTTGCAGCACAATGTCACTCACAGGATATAATTTAAAGCTAATTTAACAGATCTCTACATCATTCACCTGCAGTCCTGTGGAGCTCCTCCTTGGTGGCTCTGACGGGTTTATGTCGAGGGAAAACGGCAAAGATGGTAAAAGCCGTTTCAGGGTGAGGCACACTGCTCTGAGCGCCCTGCATACAGGTGCCTTACTCAGGTGCTCTGCATCTTCGACATTGTACAGAAAACTTCCATTTGCAGCGCAACACACAGTATCTGCTGAGATGTGAGAGCATGACTACTACTGATGCTGCACATGTAAGGACGGATTAGGTTGTATGTAGATGATGGATTGTGATGTGAAATGGTACCGCTTAATGTGTTCATGTGTTCCAATGACAAAACGATACATAGCCGACCATGTTAAAAAAAAGAAAAAAGAAAAGCGAGGTGACTAAATCATTTGCCGGTGCGGCCAACAAAGACAGTTGGTAACGCCAGTGCTACCGTTGGAAAAGTTAGTCTGGAGCCCTGCTACATATATTTTACTTTTAGGTAAAAGCATGCACAATAGTTGCACATAGAATAAATAATAATCAAAAGCAGAGACAAATATTTAACAATATGTTAAGGTGTCGTTACATTTATGCAGTCTTTCAATTACAACCGGCCCTTTGAGGGCAAACACAATGCATATATGGCCCGGAATGAAAATGAGTTTGACACCCCTGCTCTAGAGTTTTCACTAAACCTGCTTTGTTATGGGTTCCATAATCTGAAAACCTGTTGCATCTTGCGTGTGTTTTCGTTAGAAATAAAAGCTTCATCAGAAATAAAAGCTTCATCACACGGCACACAGGTCAAAGCCGCAGCTTTTATCAGGTAAAATGACTCACATTGCCAGGCAGAGCATGAAGCATAAATCATGATCTTATGTAAGATTTGTTTACACTTGATATTTGTTATAACGTTTGCAGGAACAATCAAAGAAGAAAAACAGTTGTATATTTCTGCTTACATTTATTATTGAAAGAAGGAAGTGTAGCAAGAAACGTACAGGAAATGTATAAATTGCATGCAAATAAGTAAACAATTCATCCTGAAAAGGGGTTCACATTCCTAGAAAGGTTGAGTCACTGATCTAGAGCACAGTGAGAATCAATAAATTATGATTCTCGCTGGAGCCTATCCCAGCTGACTCAGGGCGAAAACCGGAATCAGTCGTGAGCCAGCTTCAAACTCACGACCTCCGCATCGGGACCGTTGCCCGATACGGGGAGTGCCGGCTCAACCTAGTGAGCTATTGTGGCACCATAGTGAGAACAGTAAAAAAAAAATATTAAAGACCTCAACAGAGTTACATCTAAACCATCGGAGACAGGAGGGAGTTATTTTAATGGGAAAAAAAAAAAACTATAAATATCCAACCTAAGTACACAGAAACAGCAGCCAGATCGGGACTCACAATGAAATAGTTTTAAAATGTAATTAGATGAACAGTAGAAATATCACATATGCTTTGGGCATCAATTAGATGAAGAAGAATCAGATTAGATGCATATTAACAAACATTATGTTCCTCACATCAAAACCAACAAATGACTGCTAATAAAGTTTAGAAAGTAAAAAGCTTATTTTTCAAGTGTAAGTGAAGCAAAGAGGCAAGTTTAAACCCCGTCTGGGACAGATGGCGTTTCACCGAGATGAAAGGAGCCATCAACCATCAAACTGGATGATTTTTTTCTACTCTTTTAAATCTGCATTCATGACCTTAAACCACCTCCAAGCTCCATCCCTCAGATTCGCCATCACAAAAGATAAACATTCTTTGTAACTGTGTCTCCAAAACACTCAAAGCTGTCTGGCGCAACCGTGGAAAGTTTCTGGAAGGTATTTTTCATTGCTGCGGTTAACACTTCAGCTGTACTAGACAGTAACTCAGCCTATCCGCCCCACCTTCCTCCTCCTACATGTAGTCAATTTCCCTTCGTTACTGAGCTTTGGGGACAAAGAACCAGCTATTGGCTTTGCCCTCCTTTCCACTCGACGCCAGCAGTTTTGACTGATGGACCATTGTTTTGGAGATTTTTGCAGATTTGTGATGCATTACAGTTGCTAAAGGTGTGGTGTGATGAAAAGGGTGGCGTGTAGGATCTCAGGTCCAACCACAACAGCACACTCATACTTTTTCGAGATAAGAAAGTAGGTCAGTTTCAGAATTCACTGTAAGAATAAGTCTGAGCTGTCGACCGCAAAGGAGCAAATTACTGACTTTCAGCAGCCTTCTGTATCGACTGAGTAGATATGTTTGATAGATAAAAGCAGGAGGTTGATCGCTGCAGGAAATGGTAAACGTGGTGAGGATTAGTACAGGAGAAACCTTCATCCTGCCTTTAACCAAAAAAACAAAATATACGAAGACAAACACCTCTAGACTGTTAAGATATCCTTTGTCGTTCACACAAACGCTCTTAAACCCTGTCAACAAGTCACAGTTGAACTAGTTCTGTTCATTCTCAACCTCACTGTCTCTGGTCCTCTACTTTTCCCTCCTCCATCTCTGCTCTCTCTGTCATATTGAGTATATCTCATTGAAACAGACAGAAACACTGTAAATATTTTCATTTTAAATGCTTTCATATGCTGTTTGCTTCTTGTTTTGCCACCCGATGTTCCTAAAATGATCTTCAGTTTTATCCACAACATAAACAGAAATCCTCACAGCATTAGTTGTACTGTTTTACCGTAAAAATGTTAACCCTCTGAACCCCAAGTATTTTTATTTTTTTTGCTCGTGTCTCATTTTTACTCACTGTTGGCTCATTTTTCTCCATCACATAGAGTCCCGACCTCTGTGGAAACAGAACAACCATGAGTAGAAGTAGAGAGAATTTAAAATGTCTAACGTGCTATGAAAAAAAGAAGAAGCTAGAATACTATAAATAGTCACAGATAAACCGAAAGTTGAATTTCTTTCATTATTTATTTTACCAAAAAAAAGCAAAGTCCTGGAATCATCCTGTACATCATTTTCCCAAGTGTCCACAGGAGTTACCAATACTGAGAAAAAAAACGGTGACACTACATGCTATAGATGTTTAACTACTCACATTTTTAGTTTCCACAGTTACTTAACTCTTATCTGCTTTGTGTAAACACTGCCTGCAGTTCGTCGGTCACAGATGAGTCACTGATAACTTTTGAACGTGTTGAATAAAATAGAAGTTTTGATGTAATATGATGATTTCCACTTACTAGATGGAAAGACACATTGCTCATGATTTACTTAAAGTTCTGCTAAAAGTTGAAAATCTGACGATTCTTTCTGTTCTTACAGTTTTTGGTTCCTCATAAATGGTGTCATTTTGGCTATTTTTAAAAAATATAGCATTCCCTTTAAACCCGCCAGCAGGTTTTGGGGTTCAGAGGGTTAAACTAGAGATTCTCCAGCAGGTTTGATTTGGATTTGTCCAGAATATAAGGCCAACCGTGCACCTCCTTCAGAAATAACTTTTTTTTGCATGCATCACTTCATTGTTTCATGAGGTCAAGCAGGAAATGAAGCTCACATCATTCATGGCATGCTATTGTTGAACAGCTAATACCAGAATGAAAACGATTAATGCAGTTCTTTTTTCAGCCTTTACTTTGCTGTAGTTTTGTCCATGTAGCTGCTCCAGTGTCCTCCTGTGCCGACTGTGCTCTAATGTGATTCTGCTGCATGTCTCTGTGTACACTAGTTCGCTAACCCCGCTCTCTTTTCTTTTGACTCTTTTCTGCCAAGCTTCTCTCCTCCACAGCTTGCTCTGCTTTCAGTCACTCGCCCTCTTTTCTTGTCTTTCTGCCGTCCTAAGCTCTTTGGAGCAGTCCTGTTTTAGTCTGGTGGCATGAAACTACTGATACCTCTCTGAAAAAACTGCACCAGGCTCTGTCCAGAAAGAAAATCAGATTCCATGTCCCACGTGCAACTGTACCAGTTCTTTGCTTTCTCCAAAGTCGATTGACTATTAAGAAAAATAGAATTTATCCAGTTTAACAAAGGAGTCAGTTAAACACTCAGTTACTGTCTTTAAAGTTTAATTACATCAAAATGAGGATGCTGACTTGTATAAAAACATAAATAAAGTAAATAAATGCTTTGGAAAAAACCAGAACACAGTCGAATAGATCTTTATTGTCATTGTTAAACAACAACAGAAGACAGTTTAGCAGCTCTTTGGATTAGCAGCGTAGAGTCATGAAATTAAATTAAAATAAAATTGCACTGTGTATGAACAAGTTTGAATTATGTATAATATCATAAAAGAGCAGTGTGATATGAAAATAAGAAGATTCTAATCCAGTAATTGGGATTTATGTTCATATGTGTCCCTGAAAATCTGGATTGGAGATTTAAGGACTCAAGTTGGAGTCGTAGTTTGGTGAAGGTGGGACATCACCGACTTCTGACTTTAAAATAGAAAAACATAGGTTTGCTGATGCTTTTTTGGCCTTCTCTCTGAGCAGAGCCTTTTGTAGTTTCTCTCTGGCTGCGACAGGTGATGTAGAGAAACACGTCGGGTGCTTTAACGTGGATCATAATTAGATCACATCCACGTCTCTTTTTGAATCATTGGACTGAAAAACGCCTCCATCTTAAAGCACCCATCCCGCTGACATCCGTCGCTTTTGCTCGATTCAGCTTCAGTAAAAATGGGTCGAGGAAAGGTGGCAACAAAAAACCACACATTTCCTGTCTTTATTAGTGTTCAGCCTCTTTCCCCATTCTGCTTCAGCAACCGCTTATCTGAGGGAATCAGACGCTTGTTTAGCCTTCCTGCATGGCAGATAGTGTGTGATTAGTCACAGCTTCTCTTCTGGCTTATAGTCTTTGTTTTCCCTGGTAGAGGATCTGTAGATCTGACCTTCGTGTCTCTGCACTCTTTTCTCTGCTGCCTTCTTGCATGAGCTTCTTGCTTTGTCTGTCTCTGAAAATGTGGATGTTGAATGTCGCTTTTTAATGTCACGGTAGATTGTGTGAGAACAGCTGCTCGGTCACAACATTATATCTTCTAATCAGGTGTATTTTGCTTCACTTTGCTCATCAGTTTTGTGCTCCGTATGTGGCTTCTTGGTTTGGTCGAGTGTTCCATTTGCCACGCACGTTTGCAGAGATGAAGCAAGATGGGAGCTGCACGTGTAGATGTTATCTGTTGCCGCGTTCAAACTTGCTGCTCTTGTCTGTGTGTCTGTGTTAAAGTCATTTGAAGAGGTTGACATTAATCAGTTATCACAACAACTGTGCATACTTCACATGCATTCACTTCAAGAGTGTTACATGTTTGTTTTTGTGCGCTGGGTATGAAGGTGATGGGCCCTGAAAACTATGCATGTTTAACATGCTCCAAAAGCTCTGACTACTCAGTGATGCAGCTGTGTCTGTGTTGGTCAGCCGTGATCCCGCTAACATTATGTTTCTTGTGAACGATAATCTGAAGCATTTGAAGATTTATGGCATTTTGTTAACATACTACAGTTTCCGTTAACATGATTTGCTTTATTATCAAGATATTGTCTTTTTATTCAACCTTCTACAGCAGTTGACCTTCGAGATGTTTTACTGATAAAGGACCTCAGTTTTGATAGTGCGCTCTTACATAGTGAGATCGTAGTGGATTAGACAGATGTATCTCTATGATTCTTTGTTGAGGTGTTTAGAGATGTTGGTGTTGATCTGGGAGGCTTTGGTGTGTCTGGTCTGTTCACTCAGATGACGAGGTAACAGTGGGGAAGTTCTATGCCACCTTCCTGATACAGGACTACTTCAGAAAGTTCAAGAGGCGCAAAGAGCAAGGTCTTGTGGGAAGGCGCTCCTGGGAGAGGCTCAACACCACCTTGGCTCTACAGGTGAGTGAAGTACAGTTTGTGTCATAGACTCAGTCCAGCAGTAATTACATGTTTGTCTGTGTTGCTAAAGCTCAGCATTCGTCTCCTACACCAAAATATTGGTTTAATCATGAACTTACATAGATTTTAGTAACCACATAACCCAAAATCTGCCTGTCATTTTCATAAAATACAGTATGTTTCAGAGAATTGATATCAAAGCAAGACTTAGACTAAAAGGAAAGACTATAAATACCGTTGTTGTTGCAAACTCCTGTTCCGACCTCGACTTCCAGCAGGTCATTAAATGATGTTTAAAATGTCAATTCCATTAAAGAAAAGCTAAAGTTTCTCACGTACCCTGAGTGTTATCATGGCATAGCTTGGATTTATTTGTCCAAGTTCTAAGAGATCAGTCTGAGATTTCTGTCTGTGTTGCTCACACCACTGACACGTTAAGCAGCAACA